AAGATGTCCCGTTTCCTTAAATATAATTTCACATTATAAAAAGGTGTCCCATCTCTTTAATTACAATGTCGTCATATCATAAAAGGTGTCCCGTCTCCTTAAATATAATGTCGTCATATTATAAAAGGTGTCCCGTCTCCTTAAATATTATGTCGTCATATTATAAAAGATGTCCCGTTTCCTTAAATATAATTTCACATTATAAAAGGTGTCCCATCTCTTTAATTACAATGTCGTCATATCATAAAAGGTGTCCCGTTTCCTTAAATATAATGTCGTCACATTATAAAAGGTGTCTCGTTTCCTTAAATATAATGTCACATTATAAAAGGTGTCCCGTCTCCTTAAATATAATGTCGTCACATTATAAAAGGTGTCCCGTCTCCTTAAATATAATGTCGTCATATTATAAAAGGTGTCCCGTCTCCTTAAATATGATGTCGTTATATTTTTTATGCAAAATGTTTCCTGTTTTATAAGAATCATGTCAACATCTACATTTATATAAAGTAGCATCTGTTTTTTTTTCTTACAAAAGTGTCCTATTTCATTATCTGAAGGGAGGGACTTCTTTCCTTCTAAATTTCACGCCAGAAACATAGTTAATTAAAATACAAATTTCGTATGAAATATACTGCGCATACTCAAATGCTAAGATGGCTTTTGCTCGACTAGAAAGTTTTGTTTTATTAGTGTTAGTTGCAATATCCTAGACGATCGAGGCCTTGCAGCAACTATTTGAAACACCTTACATAGAAAGTGTAGTTTATGTTGTTCCTGGCGACAAGTGGGAAAAACATATATGTTAGAAAAGTAGTAGTTTTGTTGTATCGTAAAACTTGTATGATAACAAAACACTTCACGCTCAATTTCCTGTTTGAATACAGCACATTCCGTTGTCGACAGCGAACTCTTTGTTTCACAGTGACGCTTCCTGTTTATATAGCATAAACCATGAGATAAGTAGCTTTGTTTCCAAACAAGGATCACTGCTATGTCATTTTAACTGTATTCAGTGCATTGAAATTCTGAATTTCAAACAAATATTTCCAGTCATCCTTCTTTAAAACTTCCAAAAAAACAACAACCCTATTTCCAGGGAATACTGCCACACTAAGTTATTGCGAAGCCCACGACAGCCATATTTTCAGTGCATTTTACTTTAACCGTCTTCATACAATAACTTTAGAATAAATACTTTTTTAATGAAGGCATAAATTTTGGTTTTTTATAATATATTAGATCATGAACCGAAGAAGCAATTTACGTAAGAGTAACTATAAATCAATAGACAAGCATAATCTTGACATCTGCTGAAACTTTTTCATAAATTCGTAAAGCAGTCATTATTCAGAGTAATCTTCTTTCATCTCACTGTATTTCAGCCATATTTGTGCGCTTGATTTTAAACTGGTGAGAAATATTTTCTAAAGTTCAGAGGGAAATCAGCTTGTTTTTGTTGTTGTTTTTCACCGACAGTCTGGTTGTGATTAAGTTTATAGTGGTGAGAAATATTTTCTAAAGTTCAGAGGGAAATCAGCTTGTTTTTGTTGTTGTTTTTCACCGACAGTCTGGTTGTGATTAAGTTTATAGTAATAAATGTATTGAACAATTGTAAGGGAAATAATTCGTTTTGGAATTCTCATATCTTTACTATAATTGTACTGGAAGCTTAACGCTCATCCTTCTCCGTTCACTTTACAAACCGTAGCTCGTTATAGATACGCTATATGTTACAGTTCCAGACTGTTAGTGTAACAGCATATCACTATTAATTTTAGAACGCATATACAGTTACAATAGAATAGTGTTAGCTTCGGTCGGCTTCATTGATCGATTATTTGGAAACTTGAATAACGAATGAATCAACACGCTCTGCTGTTGTGAGTAAATCACTGTCAACAAATGTGATTTATATGTATTAATTTCTGAGATACTGCTAACATTTAATGAGGCGTGGCGTAAGGGTTTGGATATTGTTGACCAGCTATAGTTTGTCTCCTGAGACCCAATTAAAATGGCAGTTGAGTCACCAGTAGATATCATGATGAAATTTTTTATAGATATTTTCATGTTGGTGTCTTGATAAATTCAGTGGCCGGAAATGACGAAACATAGATCTTGTTATATCATTATAGACCAACGCATTAAATATAACAGTAGAGTTTTTTTTTATTTTGCTTCCCATGATGTCTATGTCTTATATATATATGAAAATACTTTTAGAACGTACTTTGGAATCTGAAGTGTTTAAAGTACTTTTAGAAGAGTTATAATCTGACAAACACGTTTAGTAAGGAAGAGACGAAAGTGTCTTCGAAACGTACGGCAAATAGTTATCTATATTGTCAAAAACAAAATTTGACATTTACTACGACTAGATATCCCACCCACCTGCATCCACCCTTTTCAACTACACATTTTGGAGACGCATTCACTAATGATCGAAATCTATCCTATTCTAGTTATATTCACTCTCGATACTCATGAGATACGTTTTTAGGCTTCTAACCTCAGATAATTCACTGTTGACAAGTGATAACTATGTAAGTGCTCTCGAGTCACTCCTCTTCCTTTGCTCTTACTGTCACACGTGTGACAAGACTTCTCTCTTGAAATAAATAAATAAACATTAGCCTACCTTTCTTCAGTAAATGAAAGCTTTATACCTTTGACTAAGCGATAGAATAAGCAACAGCGATTTAAACTCCAGAGAAAACATTTTCAAGCAGTTTAGTTGTTGTTGTTCTTGTTTTTCAGAGCAGAGGGCTTACAGAAGCATGCAAGGACAATAAAGACATTATAAGGTAAAGTGAAACAAAATATTGAAACTGCAAAATACCATTAAATGTTATATGTGTCAACCAATCTCTCAATGACAATTTTGTTACATTTTAGATAAAAATAAAGCAACTTGTCAAATGTAATACCGTGGACAGGATAAGTCATAATCTTACTTGCTGAAACTTATCTAGGGTACATCCCAGTATGTTAATAACTTATCTAGAGACATCTCCGCGTATTACCAACTTATCTAGTTTACATCTGCGTGTATTGCTAACTTATATCAAGGAATGTCCAAGCGTTACGAACTTATCTCGAAAGATCTCCAGTATTGCTAACTTATCGAGGGGCTGATCACATGTGTTACTTACTCATCTCAGGTACAAAACTGTGTGTTGCTACCTTCTCTCGGGTACATCCCCGTACGTTACTAATAACAGAGCGAAATATAACCTTAGTTTCTGAAAATTATCTTGGATAAATTAACTTTTGGTATTAATGATATAGCGAAGCGCAAGATGAGTTTTTATTGAGTAAGATACAATAAATCGTAACGTAAGTTTCGGTTACCTCTGATATCTTAAATTATATTACATACTTGACATTCCACTTGATATTACTGAAATAAATAGTTATAACTTGAGTTTCTGAAATCTGTTTGCAGTAACTCTGCAGATATAATCAATTCTTCAAAGTTTCGCTAACTTCTCCGCGACTCCCCGACATGACACTAGTAATTCTTGTACACGTATCATCCCACCCACAATATGGCGATGCCGTTCTCCTTTGTTATGGACTAAGCACAAGTCATAATGCATTAGGTTTGATGTTTAGGAATAACATGCTACCAAGACACGATCGATTGGTACGGAACTTAAGGTAACCTCTATTTTTTTGTGTGTTTTTTTCGAAAGTGTGGTATTAACATAAGTGTGAGTGTTGAATATAACGTTTAACAAAGTAGGAATAAGCTTAATATTTCAGACAGCAACATAGCAATGAAGCTCCACTGTTTTAACCCAACCTCTATCATACAGTTTGATCAATAATATATACATATTTCATTATAAAAGGCAACATTTATTTCTAAGTTCCTTTCTTGGACTTTCTAAAAAATAAAACGACACCTATCAACTATCTTGTAACAACTTCTCAATAGAAAAATCACAGGTTTGTATAATTAATAAGAAACTGTGTGTATAAAGCAAAAGCTAAATGAATACACCGAGAACCAAGTTTTATATTTTAACTTCAAGATTCTCCTTATATGATTTGCCGTCAGTGATTGACGCGACCGAGCAGAAAAGCTTGAACACTTTTTTTTTCTAAATTTTTCATCTTACCTGTCGTAAAAATCTGTAAAGAAGCATCTGCATGAAAAATGTCAGTGAACAATAGCACTATCAGCCACATAGTATTAGTTCTTCTTGCGTTTCTTACCACGACGGTCAAGAGATTCAGTATTGTTTTCCTCTTTGTAAACCTCACGGTTAAACTGTGTCAGTGACAATAGGCACGAGCCTTTCTCGAGCTTCGCTCGATCTACAACTAGTCACGCGCTCTCCTAACATTTATATATCCACGCTGACGCTCACAGCATGGCTCACCAACGAGGATCTGCATTGGCTGAAATTCGCAGCTCTGTCAAACACTTTAAAAAATAACTTTATTTTCAAGTTCAAGTTTCATCGGTTTCTAAACATTCTAGTTTTTGTTTATCTTTAGCTGAGAATTTTTATTTTTATTTTACATGACTCTCTTAAATCACTTTCGCATATTTCTCGCTCTGATTATTCCCCCTTTTTATGTCCCCCATAATCAAATGACATTCGAATAATATGCTCATACAAATATTCTTCGTACGAATACATAAATAATACAAAGTATGGTTATACTTTGTATGGATATGGATGTATTTGTTTCCAAGTTACGTATTTGTTTCCAAGTTACGTATTTGTTTCCAAGTTACGTATTTGTTTCCAAGTTACGTATTTGTTTCCAAGTTACGTATTTGTTTCCAAGTTACGTATTTGGCTGCTTTTTTTCTACCCTTTCAGTGTAGGCAGGGCTTACTACCCCTTTTTCTGTCTTCGTTTAATTTCTTGAACGGGATTTTATAGTTTGATTTTACTTCGTTTGTTTTCTCCTTTTAGAGCAAAGCCACATTAGGCTATCTGCTGTGTCCACCGCGAGGTATCTATCCCCGGATTTTAGTGTTGTATGTTCGTAAACTTACCACTGTCCCACCGGCGGGCTATTTGATCTTTTTACTTTTCATTGACAAAATTTAAAAGTTGTTTTTTTTGTTTGTTTGTTGTTTAGCGCAAATCAACAAAATAGGTTATCTGTACTGTGCACACCATGGGTATCGAAACCTCATTCTTAGAGTGAGTTATGAACCTTCTGACTTATCGCTCAGTCACTGGGGAAGGGGGGGGATTTAAAAGAGGAAAATGTGTTTTTATAAATCTATGAATTTTGATAAGCATCTACATGACAATAAATCATTTGGTTTTAGAAAACTATAAAAACAATAAACAAACAAACTGTAATTTTTGTGACAAATGAAACCTAAGTAGTCAGAATTTGCACTCTAAAAATATATTAATTTAATTAATAAAATATAAAAGAAAACTGATGCATTAAAAACCAAAAGCACACTGTACCTTGAACAACTTAAGATGAAGAGTTAAAAGAAACAACAACTGAAACTGCACATTAAGAGCAAAAAAAAACAACAAAATATGTCGACGAAAGAATCTACACTAAACTAGCTTTATTGTTGTTGCTTTTTTTGTGTGTGTGTTTTCGATTTGCGGGCATTTTGTAAGCTTCAGAACTACCGCAGAACTAAACGGTATGTCTTATCTGTAAATCAATAATTCTAATTAAGAACAGAACACACACCGTTACACTGGATCACCAACGCTAATCATTGAACCGATTCTTAGCATGGAACACGTGTGATAGTTCCCTCCTTATTATAACAAGCTGCCCCAAGTCACACTCTTCGGGCTGATTGAAGGGGAGAAGAGACAGGCCCGTGGAAATCCGTGGCTGGATTCTATCTTTACAAAACTCAGAAATCTATACTAATATTTAAGCACTCAATGTATAGGCAATTTGATTGACTGTTTTACTCAACAAAGAATATGTGGCTTAAAATTAGATTTGTATTGTGTAAATGGAAACGTATACTGTTCTTCTTTAGATATTTGGCCTATTATATTAAATGTATTGAGTGATGAAGGTTAGAGTTTAAGTCTGTTTATATGTTTTAGTCCGGACACATGTGGTAAATAAACACGTTGATTATACGATATTTATTCCACAAGCGTCAATTTCGTGAAATTAAAATTTATACAACGATCTACAAGGAAGTGGATATCATGTAGCTTTTCTTGAAAATCCCTAATGATGAGAGAAGCCAGATAACTAGTCCTATGTACGCTTCATTTAAATTAGGTTAATGATAACTCGGTCTTTCCGACACTAATTAGCTGAAACAGTTAGACGATAAAGTGTGAATTGTGCACATTAGATGTGGAGAGGAAAACATCACACCGCTGATTTATCTAGAGATTGTGGTGATAATTAAATGGGTCTTTATTTTACCGGTACTCTCTTGATACATCACATTCCTTGACTAAAAATGCTTTCTCATCGCACGTAGCGTTGTGATTGGTCAACCGAGAATGAAATACAATAAATAACCCATTTCAGTGAAATAGTTCTTTCCAGAGAAAAGTCGAAGTTAACATATATATATATATAAACCAAACATGGTCTCGTTTTATATGATAATGTATTTTATTTTGAATCATTTGTTTGTTTTGTTTATAGTTAAGCACGAAACTACATAAAGGGCTATCTGTTCTGTGCCCATCACTGGTATCGAAGCCCGAGTTTTAGCATTATAAGTCCGCAGACTTACCGCTGAGCCACTGAGAAGCTTCTTGAATCATCGTTTCTGTATATATTAAAATTTGGGCATACGATTTACTAACTGGGCGGTTTATTTGTAGTTGGGCACAAAACTACACAAAGGACTATCTGGGCTATGCCCACTACCGGTATTAAAGACTGGGTTTTAGCATTATAAGCCTCAAACTTACCGTTGAGCCACCAGGAGGTCACTATATATATTTGTTGTTGTTAAGTATAAAGCTACACAATGGGCTATATGTGTTCTGCCTACCGTGGATACTAAGTGGAAGAATTGATGTTAAATCATTTCATTATAGGCTACGTTGCATTATAAAACAGTGAGTAGGCTTAAATTCAGTTACATTGTAATTAGTTTCCAAAGTTGGTGAAAGCGCGAGTTTTAATATGACTTTCGCACGTGGAAGGTCAGAGCTAGGCTTTGGTATTTGTATTACATGACACTTGTCAACGAGTGATCCTCACGTGCACTTCGAATTTGAGAAGTAATTCCATGAGTGTAAGAGCGGCTAGAAAGATGACGAGATAAAAAGCAGAATCGTTAAAAGCGAGTAAAATGTAAGATATTCAAAAAAGAAAGCAGTAATCCAGGAAACGTGTATTACAACCGAATAGTAAGGAACAAAAGCACTAAAAACATTTGACACACAAAAAAAAATGCAAAATGACTTATTTAAAACAAGATCAATTATTTGTTTCTGGATACCACAATAAATAGTTGCCTACGCGTTATTAAGAATTAAATTTACATACATCTATTTAAAACGTGTTCGTATATCGAGATTGCTTGATTTTGGCGAAAATATGCCGAGCGTTATAATGTTTAGCATGTCACTACCTATAACGTTCTATCGAACAAATTTTCGTCAAAGTAGAACTGAATTCCAAATAGAAAGTTGTAGTAAAAACATTGAGACGAATGTAATTTTCTCGCTCAACAGTGGTATACGAATTTCATAGCTGTAGTTTTGAGTTTAAGTACATTTGATCGGTTTCAAGGAAAGCAACAGTGAAGCATATTTTATTCGATATTACATATGTATGAACTACAATACAGTGTAAGTACCATAAGAAGTTCATGTTTTGTTCTTTAGAGTTCAATGTCGCGTGGATATCGAACAGTAACTTTTCTTAGGCCTATCGACATTTCTGTTATGCTGAGTTTCTCTCTTTTATCTAAGCAGTTAAAAAAAACTAAACATCTTAAAATAAAAAGTAAAATAAAATGATATTTATTATCTTACTTTCTAAGAAAGCAGAGGGCGTTAAAAAATAGGCCATTAAACTCTCGATCCTAACTTACTCATTACCATACCGGGTGAGATTTTTAAAATGAAAAGAGTATATAATGAATGCTACAATAGATGTCTCTACCATCTATGTGTTTTGAGTCCGTTTTACTTCACTGTTCTTTCACCTAACGAATATAACAGGGAAAAAGAAGTTGGGGTTCAAAGGGTCAGACATATGATTAATGTAGAGCAGAAAACACAAGGGAAGTAAATAAAACAATAATTTATTTATGTATGTTTACGTGAACATACATAAACATGTATGTTTCTTCCACGTGAACAGCAGATAGATTTCCGGTACACATTTATTGTCGTTCCATCGTATCTGCTTATAAAGTAAAGAAATAACGTTTCAAAAAAAAAGGAAGTAAATGTGAGGATGGCTAATATAAATATTTCCAAAACAATGCAAATAAGATAGTAGGGATGGCATTTGCAACATCACTACATAATACTACAGGCACACAGTGTAGTAGAATGTTAACAGACGAAAATAGGATAAATTAAACTCAATTGTGATTGAATAGTTATATATAATGCTATATGTTAATGATGCAAATGCCATCCCTACTATTTTGTTTGCATTGTTTTTGAAGGGTTGATATTAGCCATCCATACATTTGCCTCTTTTTTGGAAAAGTTTTTCCTTTACTTGTTTGCTGGTTGTTGTTTTCTTAATGCAGTGTTTCAATAGACATAGGAAGGTTGTATTTATAACCAAGTTCTAAATACAACTAGGTTCCAACTGTAATACTTATTGTTTATCTATTAGCGGCTGGTAATTCCTGTTTCACCCTGTACTTAAACTTTTTGAAGGAACACCAAATGTCTGTAAGAAAGATAACTTCAAGGGTAATGATAACATCGTTTACACTAGAATTATGATTTTTTTAATTACTACTAGTCATTAATAACACCTATAAAAGCGGATACTCTTTTCGAAACAATGGCACCTCAGTGAAATTGATTGACGTCATTGTTTGTGTTTTTGTTATCATGTAATAAGACAAAGAGGCAGAAGAAAGAACAACAATAAATCAAACTTTTTTGCTATGATATTAACAGATATTCCCAGAACTTGTTACTCAATCATTACATAGATATTGTTATAAAAGGAAACACTGTATAGTATTTAAAGTTCTGATGACCTATTGAGGAGATATTTAAAATATCATTTCGATAAATAATCCGAGCCATCCTCACATAGGTAGTGTTACCGCCTGTCTGATAATACATTGTTCAAAAAACTCTGCGTTTCAAGTGTTTAAGCGTAAATTTTCTGCATTGCACATC